GTTCACACTGGGAGCAGTGGGGCCGTTCTGTCACCTGCCTGGAAAAGGTACAGGGATGACTATAGAAACGGGGTGTCACAGGGATTTTCCATGGGGTCTCCTTTGTCTCCTGGGGGCTGCTGAGGGTGGTCAATGCTGTGTGTTAGGCTTTCTAAAAAGGTTTTGGGGGCAGATCTCTAGGGGAGCTCCCTGGAATAGGGCCTCTGCAAATAGTATTGGTGCCAGTTAAAAATTAAAAAATTAAGAAAACTGTCAGTCGTCAGGAAATGTTGACCTCTCGGGATTTGCTGGGCACCCCTGGCATTTCCACAAAGGTCTGCCACAGAAATTACTCGAAACTCTGAGGAACATACAACACCCATTCTAGCTGTACTATACTACAGTTTTGAAAATTAATATTTGGAAATCAAGAGGTTTTCATAGGTCACTTTGCAGTGATTAAAAAGTTAAGTGATATCAATAAGAAAATGACATTACAGAATAAATAAAATTATAAGAGGAAGCTAACAACCAGGGCTTGAACAACTTCCTGTACCTACTTAGTATGCATGCAACTAATTTAAATGAGATACTGACTCAATAGTCTATACTTGGCAATATTGTTAATAGATTAGTTCTACAGGGGCACCTGGGTGGCTCAGTTGGTTAGGCAACTGCCTTCGGCTCAGGTCATGATCCTGGAGTCCTGGGATCGAGTCCCGCATCGGGCTCCCTGCTCGGCAGGGAGTCTGCTTCTCCCTCTGACCCTCCTCCCTCTCATGCTCTCTGTCTCTCATTCTCTCTCTCTCAAATAAATAAATAAAATCTTTAAAAGAAAAAATAGATTAGTTCTACTAACTAGTGGTACTTAAAATTGAGGTGATTTGTTTTTTTTTTGAGGTGCTTTGTTTTTTAAAAAGTATTTTGACCAAGACAAATGGATCTTCATTAAATTTTAATCTCTATTAAAAAGCTTAAAAATCAGGGGCGCCTCGGTGGCTCAGTCGGTGAAGCATCTGCCTTTGGCTCATGTCATGGTCCCGGGGTCCTGGGATCCAGCCCAGTGTTGGGCTCCCTGCTCAGCGGGGAGTCTGCTTCTCCCTCTCCCTCTGCCCCTCCCCACTTTTCTCATGCTCTCTTTTCTCAAATAAATAAAATCTTAAAAAAAAAAAAGCTGAAAAATTATATATTAAAATTTGAGGCTGAATTTGTTAAGGGAAAATAATTGTTACTTTGTCATTGAAAAAAGGATTCACAAGGTGTACTCTAGAATAATTCAAGGCTTTTAAAATTCTTTTCCTAGGAAATATCAGTAAGTAGATGAACTGCTTCTCTGCATGAATATCTTTTGATTTAAAACGGGTATGACACTCATTAAAATATGTGAAAGAATTACATACAATTAGTGAGCTAGTTATGCTAAGGAGCAGACACTGGCTCTTCACCCACTTGGCACGTGATCCTAAACCCTGAGCTTCTGTAATTTTTTAAAGGTGGTAAACTATATATAGCGATAAATTAAGAAGTAACTAATCAGTAGAATGCGAACTGCATCCTTCAGTACCCCAAAGGCCAATGATAAAGTGAAGCTGAAAGAGACAGCTGGGAATACTGATTTCCTAAGAGCACCTGATAGCAGGAAAGAACAGATGATCTATGGACAATCAAGAGGCTAAGTAAATACACGTTTCAGCAGGACAAAGAAGGCATGGGTGTTGAGATTATAAATCTAGGAAAGCTAATTAATCATTATCGCCAACAAAATAATACCTGGAAAGGCAAGGAATATTCCAGGTAAGCCCAAAGTGGGCAGATGCATTTCTAACAATTGAGCGTGTCAGGATTTTTGACATAGTGGTTTCCAATCATGTTTAAAGCCTGCAGGCTTACATTACAGTTATAGGGTACATGTCTTTCATTTGTGTTCCTGTTTACATATCAATTTAGTCTGGAATTAGTAAGCAGATATGCTACACAAAGCAATGCAAGTCTAATTAAATCTTACCGAAGCTTTAATTCTGGATGTAAGAAATACACCATATATGACATCCATCAAATGCAGAGACTACAATGGCAAACTGCCTGCCTTTGGGGGATCTCAGGCCACGTGAACAAGTTACTTAACTTTTCTATGCCTGTTTACCCACTTGTTAGACACAAGATATTAATGATATCTATCATTCATAGGTGGTTGAAAGGGCTGAACTGGCTACTCTTCATAAAGAGCTAGGAATAGTGCTCATCACATTACAGGGACTGCATCTAAGGGTTAAATAAATGACCAAGAAGGCTTTTTAAATCATCTGGTTTTCTGTCTGGAGTAAACTGACATCAGAATCTCTGGGGCTATGAGAGTGGACACAGACTGGAAAATGTCTGCAGGTTATTCTCATAGTTCTTGTTCTATCCGGGACCCCCCCCACCCCCCATGACACCCACCACTTGAACTAGATAACTTCTTTGTTTCTTTCTAGCTAAAAGAAAAAGAGATAATTAGATTGAAGACAGTTTTTTAACTCTGCCCTTTTATTTAAAGAAAACTGCCTTTTCCTTCAACAATTATGAAATTAAGGTTGATGAGAAGGTCTCAGGCATCCTCCCTCCCCCCACCAACTCCCTGGCCTGCCCTGCCAGCAGATAATAGGGCCTCTCAAACCGCTCACTCATTCTAATTTCAGCCCTCACTTAGACAAACAGTAAGTTTAAGCAATCAGCCATATACATTAAATTTGTTTCCATCTCCAAAAAGGCAACCCTTGAACTCGACTAATAAATTTCTACCTCTAATTTATGGCGCTAAACCTTCCTTAGTGTGATTATAACTATTGGTTCTTTACAGAGACATAAGGACTGAAATGGAATTGACTTTTGGACCAGGGAGACATGGAAGAAACATGATGATAAGATATCTGGGGGTAGGGAAAAAAGAGATGCCCAGATTGCCTACTAAGTTTGTTAAAGAAATGTTCAAAAATAGATTTAGCAGATGTCATGAACATCACAGGCAAAAAACGCCAGAATCCTGATTCTGTAAGTAGAATCTCTAAGGGAGAAGGTCGGTGATGAGTCCAAGTTACTTTGGAATGCCCCAGGGAAAGTGTCATAGGGCTCTGGGCTATCAACCCACATGTCAGTAATAGCAAAGTTACAATACCGCACCTGACGGTGCTCTAGCTCTGTGTACGGCACAGGACTCACGATTCCACGTGGGGAAGCTATCTGCAGGCACGGAGGCGCTAGTCCTTCAGGGGCTCTTCCATACAACAGCTAACCTTGTATCCCGTCTTCCCGGATCACTTAAGCCAGAAATGCTGCCAAGGCGTGTGCACAGGCTCATTTAGAAAACCAAAACAAGGGCGCCTGGGTGGCTCAGTTGGTTAAGCGACTGCCTTCGGCTCAGGTCATGATCCTGGAGTCCAGGGATCGAGTCCCGCATCGGGCTCCCTGCTCGGCGGGGAGTCTGCTTCTCCCTCTGACCCTCCCCCCTCTCATGTGCGCTCTCTCTCTCTTTCTCACTCTCTCAAATGAATAAATAAAAAAATAAAATCTTTAAAAAAACAAAACAAAACAAAACAAATTAAATGTTTCTCCCTTGCAAACCTGTTCTTCAAACCCTTTTAAAATGGCGCCACATGAGGACCACAACTTGAATATTTGGTAATGGATGTCAACGAGAAACACAAACGATCTGCCGCTATTTGATTATGAAAGAGGCAGTGCGGGTAATTTTAAAAGGTGAGACGAATCCTCTGTTCCTTTCAAATTCACTCTGAATTTGTGCCACTGGCTTAGGGTAAAAAGCCCAAAGCTCAGAAAATTGATTTTCTGTAGGAGAGGGCTCCCTGCACCCAGAGGACCTGCCACGGTGTAAAATGCGCTGTCTGTGAGTGGCTTCGGATATTATAATATATACATATATCAAATCATTATGTCGTACACCTAAAAGTAAAACAATGTTGGGATGCCTGGCAGGCTCAGTCAGTAGAGCCTATGCCTCCTGATCTCAGGGGTCATGAGTTTGAGCCTCACACTGGGTGTAGAGTTTACTTTAAAAATAAATAAGTAAAGGGGCATCTGGGTGGCTCAACTGCTTAAGTGTCTGACTCTTGATTTTGGCTCAGGGTCCTGGATTGGGCCCTGAGTGGGGCTCTGCGCTGGGCATGGAGCCTGCTTAAGATTCTCTTTCCCTCTGTCCCTCCCCCCCACCAGTGCATGCTCTTTCTCCCAAATAAATAAATCTTTAAAAAAAAATAAGTAAATAAAACTAAAAGGGTATTATATGTTGATTTTATCTTAATAAAAAATAAATTTAAAGAAATGATTCCTCTCCTCTCCTCTTACCCCACCCACTTTATTTAAGAAGAACAACCACCGTTTTCTTTCACATGACAAAACCAAAGCAGTCAATCAAACAAAAATAAAGTTTACACAATGAAACACCATCCTTACAGTAGCTAAGCCAGTCTTTCTTAGCCAACACTCTCTCATCCTAAACCACATAACTTACAAACGCAACAAAATACGTCACGAGCTCACGTTTTCTTTACTCCTTCCCAACTCACACATGACTGAATAATTCTGGCACGAAATGTGACATGTAGAGTTAATTTTGAATCTTTAATTCATATCTATTTCCTATAACATACTTATTTTCTTTTAAGGTTAAACTAAGAGCTTTCTGGAATAATCACCCTATGTTAACTTCCATTGCCTCAAGATGCAAAGTAAAAAAATACTAAAGATACATTTTACAATATACTAGACAAGTTATTAAAAAACTTGATAATTCCCCCTACATAGACCAAATACAGTTGTAAGTTTACATGTTATATAGCAAATTATTTGTCATCTTTCACTATACTAGAATGTTATTTGAAATCTAGGATTATATTTTTGGCTTTCTTTGCTAGCCTCCTTGTATATGATAGGGTTTTATCTGGAGGGTTCTCAATTATTTTATACACAGACTTTAACAGGTAACAATGGCTGGCTTATAAATAAGGAACTACTTAAAGCATTACCTTTTCTTCTGGGCTAGAAAAATCACAGCAGGCACATCAAATCCTTGGTTTTCAAAGTTAAAAACAAGTATCATTCCTGACAATGGCTGAATCTAACAATTACTAGAATTATTAGCTGATGTAGAAACATTTGGGCAAGGAAGTAGCCCAGAGGTTGTCTAGCAGCACTCTCTCAGATTTTGAGGAATTCCTAAAAGATGAATTATTTTAGTGAAACATAAAAATATTGAGAGGCACATACAACTGTTTTTACAGTAAAAAAGTAACTAATACTAATAATGCAAATTCTAAAATAATGAAATAGGAACTTAAGTAAAATTGTCCTCAGAGGGGAAAAAACATCAACATACTGAACACCCTGGTTACGTGGCCAGATGGATACACCATGTGAAATTCAGAAAGTGAGTTAGGAATCAAGACCTACTGCTAGGTAGACACTAGGTGTATATTGCATTTTCTAAAGCACATCGCATCAAGGGAATTAAACAGAATATAAACTAAATGGGAAATGCAAATATAAGAGGATACCCCCAAACTGTGTAAATTAAAAACGGGAAAAAGCACCAGAGGAAATAAAAAATGATAGGACCAAGACAGAAATAGTTATCCTACATATTTTGTGTGGGAAAAAGTCCTCCCCACATTCTTAATGGCTTACTTAAAAATATTTTCTTGTCACAAATGACCTTCAAAAGTTAAATAATCAATTTCTCCTAATGAATTTAGGAATTTTTTCCACTGAAGCTACAGGGGCAGATCTAGGTATTATGCTCACTGTAACTTCCACAACTTTTCCTTGGGAGGGGGTATGGAAGTACTCTTTAAGAAAAGTTTTAAGAGGGCGCCTGGGTGGCTCAGTTGGTTAAGCGACTGCCTTCGGCTCAGGTCATGATCCTGGAGTCCCTGGATCGAGTCCCGCATCGGGCTCCCTGC